AATAATAATCTGCACACGTAACACAACTACTTCATTTTAGAGCAACAGTTGGGATCTTTTGAAGTGGAGCTCTGTGGAGAAGATATGAACAATTTTTTTTCCTGCTCTCAGAGGAGTAAGACACTTTTTTTCTCTCTCCTGCCCTTCCTCATCTTCCCTGCTTTGCTGCTTGGAGCCTCCTCTACGTTTTTCATCCGAAACCAAAAATCATGGATTTTTTTTATAGATTTGGTTAGCTGGTCTCTTAATAAATTTTTGGAACATTTTTTTTTTTCCATGGGAGGACATGTCAAAGGTGGGACCTCTGTTCTGCTCTGTTCAACTAGCTGGATATATTTGGACTCTGATCACTGGATTTCTACAGATTGGCTTGGTGGTCTCCTGGTGTTCTACAAAACAACGTTGGTGGCTATTCAGGCCATTTCCTGGCTGCCTGATCAATATGACTGCCGGACTCATTCTTCAGATATTCACACAAGTGCATACAACTTTCATGGCTTCAGATACACACCCTCTAAACTCACTTACTCCTCTGGCTAATAAATGTGATCTATGCAGAGGTTTTTTTTTTTTTTACAAAAACCATAGTGTGTCACATTTTGTTGATACAAGATGATGTTTTTTTCCCTTATCTATCGTTGTGTAGCCTGATAAAATCCAGACCCTTGTCCTTCGCTCTGCTTCATACGAGGGTCTGGACTCTCAGCTATAGAGAAGCAATTCTTGCTGGAGGCGTGGCCTCTGCTGAAGTTTAAAATGATTGGTTCGGTTGGCTGCGACGTGTGCGTGCCAGCTCCACTGTGATGGAGGCTAAGCTAAGAAGCTAACCGGAAATCGTGTGCACTGCAAACAACCCTACAGAGAGGAGAGAAGTACCGAGCCGAACGAGACGACTGTAAATGAGAGCTGCTGCTTTGTCAGACAAATTTAATTTAATCTGGAAGCCTTATCAACACGGACTGGCTTCATTCACTTCCTCCACTGCCATTGTTAAACTAACTAGCAGACACTGCGCAGAAAATCGAAGTCGTTCAAAACTCCTCCTTCTGTTTGCTGATTGGCCCAGGTAAAACAAACTACAAGCAGACACTGCGCGGAAAATCGACGTTCTGTTCTCTGATTGGCCCGAATGAAATGCTCCTGAAGAAATCCTTGTCTATGGGAGAAATCCCAGACGGAGCAGTGACGGGAAACGAGAATTGAGCAGAAGGGCCAGGCTAACCCTTGTGTGGTATTTTTGTTTTTCTTTTTAAAGTGACCCCTGCTGGTTGCCGCATGACC